GGGGGGCGCTGCCGGAGCCAGCGGGCGGCTGCTCCTGCTGCCTGGCGGCGGCGCTGCCGCTGCTGCTGCTGCTGCTGCCCGCCGGGTGTCCGGTGCGGGCGCAGAACGACACGGAGCCCATCGTCCTGGAGGGGAAGTGCCTGGTGGTCTGCGACTCCAGCCCCTCGGCCGACGGCGCCATCACCTCCTCTCTGGGGATCTCGGTGCGCTCGGGCAGCGCCAAGGTGGCCTTCTCGGCCACCCGCAGCACCAACCACGAGCCCTCCGAGATGAGCAACCGCACCATGACCATCTACTTCGACCAGGTTAGCCGCCGCCTGCTTCGCATTCGCTACCCAGATCCCCGTCCCTGCCTCCCCCTTACTGCACGCTTGTTCTCGTAGGGGCTCCTCTTTCGTCTTTTAATCCCGACTCACGCTCAATAGGAATTTTACAGCTCAGCTCCCCTGAAAGAGTGTGGGAAGTTCTTTTAGGTGTCTGCGGGGTTTTCCTAGAGTGGTACCGGTGGGGAACACACTAGCTTCTTGTCCTGTCCCATTGCAAGTAAGGAGAGGGGTTTAACGTGATAGTCTCTGCCTCGGACGCGTACAGGGGTGCCTTGCAGCCGAGGATTACCTCGCCCAACCAGGAACGACCCGGGGGAAGGTGCGTATCCTTCCTTTGGTGCACCGTCGGGAATGCTCATTTTTAGGGCAAATTCGGAGGTTTACCGATGAGGAGTCGCCAGATCTGCCTGTTCCGAGCGCATTTGGCAATGTTACAGCATCTCTTAAGGGGAGAGAGGGAGGAGGAAGAAGAGGGTGTTTCCCGCGTTATCAAACGAGGCGAACGATGTCCCCGGTGGGCTATAACGGAATGGTGTTATCCTGTACAGCATACGCCGGACAGAGAAGAGAACGGGCCGACCTGGTCCTGCCCCTCCCTGCTCCTCCCTGCCCCTGCCTCTGCCCCGTCGCACTGCTTGCCTCCCAGAGGCTATGCCCCGTCCATCCACTTCATTTTTGCGATGAAATTTACTTTTTTCCTACCACTTCTGACTCCTGAAGTAATATTGCAGAGTCAACCAAAATAAGCAGACTGTTTCTCTGGGGGCTTGTTTCATTGGTTGGTTTTGTTTTTTGTTTTTTGGTTTTTTTTACTTGTCTGTCGTCCTGTCCTTCATCTGTCTACCTGTCCTTCCTAATGAGTTTGCACTGATATTCCTCGGATACAAGATGAGTAGAGGAAAAAGAAAAAACAAACAAAAACCAAACCAAAAAACAACAAAACCCCAAATTGCTGAATATATAACATATTTTAGACACTTTACCCAGCAATGTTCTTCCAACCCTGGGGTTGGAAGGCGTTTCCTCGGTTCTCCAACAATAAGAGGCTTTATTTTTTGTTCCAGTTTTTGGAAACTTTAGAGTTTGGTTGTTTGGAAGAAAGGCTCGGGATTTGGGGGGAGGCGGGTGGAGGTTACTTATTTTCTCTTGCTTTGTATTTTTCTTCATTAACCCAGAGGTTGTAACCCTCAAAGCTGAGCGTGGCCGGGCTGCCCCGGGGGCGGGCACGGCGGAGCAGCCGGCTCGGGCTCACCCACTCATCTCACGGCATCGCCACGGACCCGCGGGTTCTTCTCTCCTCACCACCCGCGCCTTTTGAGCCAGATCATGCTGCCTGTCACAGGCGCCTGGAAAAGGAGGAGAGGATGAGCCGAGGCCAGATACCAGGCAGATCATCGAGATCGGAAGGATGTGACTACCCCTTCCGAACGAGGCTTTGCACATCTGCCAGAGGGCTCAGTTCTTGCTCTGTTTCAAAAAACATTGAAATATATGAAAAATTAAGGTTGTTGCCAGGAAGGAGGAGACGGCCCACCCAGCCCCTTGAGGAGCGTGTGGGCCAAGCGACACAGCTCTCCAGAGGGACAGAGAGAGACATGAGCTGGAAGATGTTGCTGGTGCTAAGCATCCGCTCTCCTCCTTTGCCCCTCTCTGCAGTGCAATTTTTAACCCTATTAACGTCGAGGGTAGCTCTGTTTTCAATAGTGCTAGCTAAAAAGCATACATTTGCATTATGAGTCAATGACTTTAGGGATTTTTTCCTAGCTTCTTTCCCCTCCCTCCTCACCTCCATTTCACACTCTTCTCCCTCCCCATTCTGCCATCTTTATTGACAGCGCAGTGTGGACATTTGCACTTCATCTAACAGGCTTTGGAGATAATTTTTGTGTAACTAAATTGTTTTATTAACTCTGTTGCCTCTTAAATGCCTCTGTAATTTGACTCTATTCCCCTGACATACATTTTTAATTGTGCTGCAAATGCCATTTTGCCTAGGCTTTATATCAGTCATGGAGCTCATGTTAGATTTTCACTGGTGCTTTTCTAAGGTGGAGTCTGTTTTCTCAGATTTATCTTTCTCTCTCTCCTTTTTTTTTTTTTTGATTTTGTTTATTTGTTTACTTTCCAGGTATTAGTTAATATTGGCAACCATTTTGATCTTGCTTCCAGTATATTTGTAGCACCAAGAAAAGGGATATATAGTTTCAGTTTCCACGTGGTCAAGGTCTATAACAGACAAACCATCCAGGTGGGTTCTGATCTAAAAAAAATGCTTTCTTTTTTTTTGTTTTTCAAAATGCTCATTTCTAGCCACACATTTACCAAAACAGCAGTTGAAGAATGAAACTGCATGTTATTTTTAAAGGGGTCTATATGCATGACAGAAATCACACACCACCTTAACTTGATTCAACCGATTCTAACCTGCACAAAAGTTCAGTGATGTGCACAAAGCAAAGAAAGCATTGAGAGTTTTCTCAAAACTCAGATTCTGTCTCTTTGCACTTTTTAGGTAAGTTTAATGCAAAACGGCTACCCAGTGATTTCAGCTTTTGCAGGGGATCAGGACGTCACCAGAGAAGCAGCCAGCAATGGGGTCTTGCTCCTCATGGAAAGAGAAGACAAAGTGCATCTCAAACTGGAAAGGGGAAACCTCATGGGAGGGTGGAAATATTCAACCTTTTCTGGCTTTTTAGTCTTTCCACTATAAAAGAAGGCCAAATAGGAGACAGAACCATGAGCTGGAGCAAGGATTCAGTCGTTAATGACACCCTGAACTTGGCAGCACATGACGATATTTTCAGTCACCCCGTCAGACTGTCACAGTAGAAGAATGATAACCTTCTAAACTCCAACATTTGCTTTGAATATTGACAATTCCTTGGGAACCTGCGCCTCTAATTAGTTTTAGACAACAGTGATCTTTAGGAGAAATGAAATTATCGACCTGAGCAATTTGTACCTGTGATTGTAAAGTCAATTTTGGATTTTATTGTTGGGATCATTGACTTTCTTATTCTTTTTCATTTTTTCCCTCTCTTTCATTTTTTCCTGTTTTTCTTGTTGTCCCAATGAGACAAATAACTTGGACCACAGAATCACTTTGGCAAAGGCTTGCTCCAGAGCCAGAAGAATGGAGTGTTCAGCCCAATGAGATGTTCTTTCCATTCTTTATTTCTTTGTGTTGTATAGCCTTAAGAAAAAAAAAAAAAAAGAAAAAAGAAAAAAGGGGAAAAAAAAGAACGGCTTCAGTCTCAGTCCTGTATTTTTCTGGGGGAGGGGGATTCTGGACATTACTGTGTCAAGAAGTGCTTTATCCAGTGAAGCAAAATTTGCACGATTGGAACCTTATTTGTGTTGTTCGTGTTTTTCATCAACTTTTTATTTTTTCTGTTTTTTGTTTCTGTGTGCTAAAAATGTAAGCTAGATTGATCAATAAGACAAAAGAAAGCACATATATACCCTGTAGCTCTAAGTAAAGCTAACCAGTGAACAATTCTATCTGCACTTTCCAGCTGATCTTTATAGACCTATTTAGAGAGAGAGAAAGAGAGAGAAAGAGCAAAAGAGCTACATGATCCTTCAATTCAATCTGGAAACTGGTAAAGGAACAGACATTTCTGAATTGTCCTGACATTTCTAGAAGCAACAATGGAGGCTTTGAATATCTTCTCTGACCATACCCAAAAATATATCCTTTCTTTGCATTATCAAGCATATTTTGGGTGCTTTTATCTGGTATTTATTTGATGTATTTGTCCACTAATGCTTGAGTGCACATTGTAGGAGCATAGAGAGATGTCAGAGCAAACTCTTCCAAATCAAATAAAACCGTCTCCATTTGAGCTGTCCATGGCAAGTATCGGAGGAGTTGACACTAGCATCTTTAACAGCCTTGGGGAGAGGGGCCTCAGAGGATCCACAGATGCTCCAGAAATTGAATGAGTGCCATGCATTTATTAGCTGTGTGTGCTCTTCCCAAAACAAATGGCATCAAAGTTGTGGGGGTGGACTGACATCAATATTGAAGGTTGGTAAAAGTTATTATCCAAATCAACAAGAAGTAAAATATCAGACCAACGTCAGTTGTATCCTGTTGCCTCATTCTCAATAAACAGATCTTGTTTCTTCAGTTTTTTAAGGGGTTTTATTTTGGGGGGGGCAGGTTGGTGGTTTTTTTTGTTTGTTTGTTTGAGGAGTGTTTTTTTTGTTTGCTTGTTTGGCTGGGTTTTTCTGCATTTTTTTATGAAGGTTGGTGTATTAGTGTGCTGAGGAAAATCTTGTTTGAGGAGATCCAGAACGACTGTTTATTTTATAGAATTTAAATCTTAATTTATTTAATTTAAAATATTTAATTTGCTATTAATCCCCAAAGAGTGGATGTGTATAAGAATTTATTTTTGTCAAATTTACTCCTCTGCCACGAACAAATATAATGCAAAGGCATTTGCAGGAAATCGGTGGTATCTACATTGTATTTCAAAATTATGGTAGACATGTCATTTTCACTGTAAATTTATCATTAAAGGGACAAAACCAATTAAAGTCATATATTCTTTAAAAAAACCTATCTGTGTTGCTTATATACCTCAGATGACTAAAGCATTAACCAATTTAATATTTGATATTTTTGTGTATTTTCACCACTGATGCTGTTTGTTTGCTTTCCTGTTTCACTTTGCCAGTTACTGAATGAATTGGTTTCAGGTTTTGTTTTCAATGGTTTGCATTTTCTAGTTATCCCTTGTGTGTGACTGCAGTGTTTCTAGTTGCAAAATATCGCAGGACTATGTTTAAGTACATGAAATAAAACCTGGGTCAGCAGCAACCTTTTTCTATTGAAATTAAAAAATACAATAAATACAGTTGTCTTAATGGTAGATATTGTAAAGATACTTTTTGTGTTTAAAATATGATCATGTCTCTGAAGAAAACAGAAACTGGGTTGGGTTCAAGGTCCTAATTTTTTGGTTTCTAGTACATTTCCCATGTTTTATTTTAAAATTCTGCCTACCATAATCATATTCGCTTGTCTAATTCATTTCAGTTTGTCTGAAATTGAATAAGGCAATGACATCGTAATTCGGTCTCTCTCCTAAGCCAGATGAGGCCAATGACAGGGTTTTCCTTGGACCTGTTCTTGAAAGTTTCTTGAAAGCTCATAGAGCTGCAGAATCTGAAAATCTCTTTTCATGTATTCAAGATCAGTAATATTGACTGCTTATTTTATAGAGCTAAACATGTTTATATGTATGATAACCAATCTTCGTCTGAATTTAATGAATTTAAAATACTACTTTTCTCCCTCTGCTGCTTTTTTGTCTTTTATACTAAGCTACAGAGCTAGCACTCTTATATAAAACAGTTAAATTAAATGGAAAATGTGGAGTAAATTCTAATTGTACACTAACTGCAATCATGATCTCTCCTTTTATTTCTTTTGTGTTCTTTGTAATAATTGTTCTCTTTCCCCTTTTAATTTTGTATCTGAGTTTGAGAAAGTAAAATCTACTTGTTATTGGAAACAGTAGACATTTTGATATTTTTATAAGGTGCAAATCTCATATTTTATGTTTTGGGGGAAAACGTACAACAGCAGCACTGTAGATTGAAACAGGAAATATTACGTGAGACCAATTAAAGGAGCCTTGCAGCACATTAAGAATAGACTTGTCTAAAGTAACTTATATAAATAAATTCAGAGTTGGCGTAAATTTAATGCTGAGGGACACCATGAGAGTTAGTAGGTGTAAAATATATATGGTAGTGAAGCAGGCCAACAGCACAATAATGACTGGTTCCTGAGGGAGCAATAGCACAGTATTCCTTCCAACAAATTTCAGTCTTTCTCATAAGCTGGTATATAACACAATCATAAGCTACTCCTATGAAAAAGCTGTCTGTTTGGCTGCTTCCCTTCAGGGAACAATCTGTAGCCTGGGTGTTCACTGGTTTTGGTGTTCACTGTTTTACTGTTTCTTCAGACTACTTAAAGCAGGGTTAGAAGCTAGGAACTGTATTAGGAATGATAATTTCTCGTCATATACATTGTTGCCTTCCTCTTGGTTTTTAAGTTTTATATCCATAGTTTGAACATGGTCTTGCCAAAGCCTGTGTGCTCTCACCTGCCTCTGAGACAGTGGGTGTGATGGATGTGCAGTGTACCTCATTACTGGTCAGCATCTTGCAAGCTGGATCTGTGGGAGGAGGAGAGAGACAGGACATGAAACTAGGGAGTTGGTTAGAAGTTATATTGTGTTTCTTGGCTGTGACTTTTTTAACTTTTAAAAAGAACATTTTGATTTTATTGACCAAATTTGTTTCTTGGAAAATATATCAAAGTAGAAGACAGGCTAAAATGGCTTGTTTACTGATTGAGTTATTCAGAAATAGCTGAAAGCAGTTTCATGTCCTTGTAATGTCACATTGATTTCTGAAATAGTCAGAGTCACAGGTAGAATTGCTTAAAAATAACTCTTATAATTAATAGTCTGCTTCGATCCAGAATAAGTTTCTAGTGTTAATGAGCACTCAAAAATCATTGTCATTAATATACTTCATCATTTTCATTGGTAATGACTTGTCATTAAACAATTAGACATAAATAAAGAAAAACAATTGATTCACCTATTTTAATATATTGTTGAAAGGCCAAGGAATGTCTTTGAGTCATTACATAGTTTCTAGATTTGGAAACACTCATTGTCTTGAACCATTGTTCCAGGATCATATTTGAAGGGGAGTCATGCCCATTTTTAATCATAGTGGCAAATTATAATTCATTGTAAAATACCCATTTTCTTCATGAAGTAACTTCTTTTATTTGACATGACTTCACCTGTCAGAATGCTCACCTTACAGAACTTTATGGTTCCTGACCACCTGTTAGCTAAATCACACCGACAGTTTATAAACTCCTGAGGATTATTGATATCCATCGCAACTGTAGTTGGACACAGACTAGGTGGCTGGGCAGATGATAGACAAGCCTTTAGATCCGCTGTTTATATAGTCAAATATTAGTAAAATTCAAGTGGTCCGTAGTAAAATAAATACATTATCATTTCAGCAAAGAGACTAATCTTGCTTGTTTCACTTATTTCAGTAAAGTAATTTCCTCTTATCAATGGGCTTTACTTGTGTACCCCTCAGTGTTAAACTTACACCAACTCTGAATGTTGCCCAATCAATTTATTAATATAAATTACTTTAAATAAGCCTACTCAGAGTGTGTTGGGAGGCTCCTCTAATCGGGCTTACATAATATTTCCTGTTCCAATCTACAGTGCCGCTGTTACGTTTTTCCCCTCTAACAGAAAACATATCATGATATCCACACCTTATAATTATATCAAAACGTCTACTGTTTTCAATAATAAATAAGAGGAGCTTATGAAAATGTCAGTAGTATTGTGCTTGAATTGTAGGATTTGGATTTTGATCATGAATTAATATTACATTTACTTAAAAATCAGTGATAGTCATCAGTGCAAACCCTTAATTAACACAACTATTCTTTAGTTTTAAGGTATTTCAACACTAATCATAATATAAGAAAAAGTCTATAAATGTGTTTTGAATGCATAATTTAAATCTATTTTTAAATCAGTCATATTTATGGTCTTATCCAACATAATCATGATCTTATTTTCTTATTAGCTATTATTAATAAAATCCAAAGACCACTAGTGGTATTCTATGGTATTTGAGTGTAAAAATGAAAACACACTTCACAAACCAAGTATATCTAACATATCCTGTTTCTCAGGTCATACCTTAACCTATTTAGTAAATCCTCTCTGCTATTCATCAGCAAAATAAAGTTGCCTAACTTGCTGGTTCTGTGCAGAGCATGTACCACAGATGGTATAAATAATGACCTAACAAGACACGGAGAGGCAAGTAATGAGTACTATAATGAATTCTGCTTTTAAAAAAAAAGTCTGCATCAACAGAAATTCAGGTTGTATTGACAAATGCTCCAAAACTCAGGAAATACAAAAGTTAAGTTTTTAAACTAATGTTTCTGACTTATCCTACTTATCCATTGTAATAATGAAGTGTTATTTTTGCTATAGGAATCTAAAAAACAATTTAAATTGTTTTGTGATGTCAGCTGTATTAAAAGACATTCAGCGTATTGATATATTCAATGTTATACATATTCAACTAAAACCTAAGTTCATCAGTTAGTAATTATGTAACATTCTGATTTCTGCCAATATATTTAAATTAATTGAAACTACCCCTTTGAAATGCATTTCTCTGTGTGTAAATATACACACAAGTACGCACAGACATATATATGCATATATTTACATATATATGTGTATATGCATGTAAAACACACATTTTTAGCTAGGAATGGATTGAGAGCTGGCTTTTTGTGTAGTTTGGCTGTCCTTTTTCTGAAGCACTACCACAACAAATTAATTTTTATTTTATTTATTGTCATTCTAAACCTGAAACTGTTTATCTTTGCTTACATGTAAGAGTACATACAATGATAGCAAATAGCAATATACATTTCAGTGTCTGAGAGCTGCCACAGCTAAGGTAATATTAGGGTAAGGTGAAGCATACAGTTATTAATAAAAGACTTTAATTAGCTCAAGTTCTGTTGAAGGATTTTTTGATGCATAAACCTACAGCACTGTGTGAGAATTGCTTCAAAAAGACATAGAGGGGGATTGTCACAGCTGGAGGTTCAATTTGTCCTTGTATTGACACTAGATGGGAAACCTTTAATACATATTATGTAGCAAATATGTGCCTATGCTAAGTTTTTTAACAACAATAATCTTTATATGCTGACTTAATTTTGATTGTGTGACTTTTCCATATAGAGATGCTTTATACTGTCACATATTGGAACTAAGAATACAGCGACTACTTCAGTGGATAAAGAATAAAGGGGTTTCCAATGTTGTTCTCTAGGAGAAATAACCTAACACAGAATATATGTTGCTTCTACAGACTTTAGTGCCAGTGAAAATATGTAGGAAATTATTTAAAAAAAGAATCTTTCAAGTTCTTACAAGTTATTTATTGTTAGCAGCAGCAGAATTTTCTCAGCCCTGTTTGTAATAGTAGGACTGGGAGTATTTTAGGATGGAGTTTAAATGGATATAGCTAGACCTAACAGCTGACTTCTTCTCTATCTGAAATTTTCTGGACAGCTATGTGTTCTCATTAGATTTTATAATCTGTCTAGATGAAACTGTCCTTTAGCTCTGACTGGTTTTACTAACCAGTCTTGCCTAATTATTTCACCTGTGTAGGGAGAGCATTCATTTTTCTGCTTCTTTGCAATGGTTCTCTTGTTTTCTTATACTACATCAACTGTACTAAAAATATCCAGCAGAGAAAAGGAGATTCCCACTACACTTGCCTCCTTAAGACACTAATTTCTCTTCTCCTACCCTCTCTTACCCTTTCGTTCATGTTTGAAAGGCTCCTGTTGTTGAATTGAGTATTTTTTTAAATAATGCTTTTCCAACTCTGAAAACTTGTTCATGCAAAATGATGACAACTTTAGTTGACTGCTCATAAGTTATCTTATTCCTCTGTTCTGCAGCCAGAACTCTCAAATAGAAGAACCTAATCCGACTGAGGAAAAATATAACAATAAATAAATAGTGTGACATATGTATATGAATCAGTGATTTCTGGTAATTGTTTTGATCCTATTCAGACTTCTCTCCAAGAGAATGATTTATGCAGGCAACTGACTTGGTAGCCCTCTGTTTTCTTAAATCCTTTTAAAATATTGCTATTAGCAGGGATATTAGGAATCTCCCCTTTTACAGCCTGTTTATAAATGACAGACTCTTTTTTATCATCATCATCATGACTAGGCTTTGCTAACGAAGATTTGGGA